ATTTGGAATCTGAATGCATGTCACCCTGATTTCATTTTCACATGATCACTTCTTCTGCATTTTACATACTACTTTATACACAACGCACATACCACATTGTAAGCACTGGACTTTGTACAAAGCAGATACTCAGCACACCTTAGTAAATGTTTGTGGAGACACTTGGAGAGCTCTAAGACAGACACAATGCTGGAGAATCCTCTCCCTACCTGTGTTTGTAATATCTCTGGTGGATGTTATCTTGATACCTTGGGAGTCGGTAGACATCAGTTGTTTAAGAGATACCCCTTATCTTTTCTAGGACAAAACTAAGAGTTACCCCTAGAGTCACTGTCAGATTCTCACCATGTCAGAGACACTGTGCTACTGTTTTATACATACTTTCTTATTTCACCTTCACAGCAACCATTTTTATAAATCAGGAAGCTTTCTGTTGCAAGTAATAGAAATCTAACTAAAACTGGCTTAAATGATTTCAAAATTCATTCATTCACGCAACTGGAAGGCAAGAGGCAGTGTGGTCTCCAGGGTCAGCTTGATCTACTACTCTGAATGTCTTTCACTTCTACTGTATCCTGCGTGCCGATGGAGGCTGTTTGTCCCTGAGGTTGTTGGAGTGAGTTGTCATGTGAAGGCCAACAGAGAGAACCCGAAGTAACCTCGTATTTTGGAGGAGATATCTAAAATCATATGACTTTTGACCTAGAGATTTGAGTGGACAATTGACTTCTTTCTCAAATTTAGTTTTTAGGTCCTATGTCCCAGTATTTTAATTTTTCTCTGCTCTCAACCACATGGATGCTCAGTAGAAACATCCCCAGGTTTCAGTATCATTTCTCGCAGGAAGCACAGACAGTCTTTTTTGAAAGGACACCACTCATTCATTCTCTTGCTCAGCGAACACTGAGTTCCTACTCAGTATGTCCTATGCTGTGCCAGGTGCTGGGCCCACGGAAATGAAGAAAACCCAGTCCCTGTTCTCAAGGAGCTCTGTAGGGAGACAGACACAGAAACCACTAACTTTGACTGCAGTGTGGTGAGGACAATCATAGGAGGGGTGAATGAAACCCTGTGTGAACTCAGCCTTGTGCTAGGCCACATAAAGACTAGTCTAGTTAGATTCTCGTGCTTCAGCCTTCATTTCTGTTACAGTTTCATTGACTAGAAATGCTGAGTGACACCTGTCAGTTCTCTGGCTTTGGCCATTAGAACCATCTTGAAATGCTCAGCAATTTTCACTTTCACTGAGACTTGGAAGCAAAGCACCATGACAGGGCATTTTTTTTGATTTGCTGAGTTGTTGCTAAATTGTGGCCCAACACAATTTAGGCAGCATTAACACCCCATGTCCTGTCCCGCTTCTGCTTGCTTCCACTGATAAATGCTTTTGTTGTGTAACATGGAAGCTCTCATTTTGTAACTAGAGGAAGAGAGTCTTTGGTTGGAGCAGGACAGAGAGGAGGGTTCAGTCTTTGTTCCCTCACTGATCCATTGGATGGGTTTTGAACCCCTGTGGTTAGAGGACTGAAGGCCAGACATGGAAGGAACTATTCATGAGAGGAGTTATGAACACTGGGCATTGGCCAGGCACCGTGGCTCATGCCTGTAATCCCAGCACTTTGGGAGGCTGGGGTAGGTGGATCACTTGAGGTCAGGGTTTCAAGACCAGCCTGGTCAACATGGTGAAACCCCATCTCTACTAAAGACACAAAAAATTACCCGGACGGGGTCATGTGTGCCTGTAATGCCAGCACTTTGGGAGGCTGGGGTAGGTGGATCACTTGAAGTCAAGAGTTCAAGACCAGCCTGGTCAACATAGTGAAACCGTCTCTACGGAAAACACTAAAAATTAGCTGGATGTGGTCGTGTTGTGTGCCTGTAATCCCAGCTACTCGGGAAGCTGAGGCTGGAGAATCGCTTGAACCCAGGAGGCGGAAGTTGCAGTGAGCTGAGACTGCATTACTACACTCCAGCCTAGGTGACAGAGCAAGACTCCATCTCAAAAAAACAAAACAAAACAAAACAAAAAACCAAAAAACTAAAACACTGGCACACTGACCTACTTTAGGGATTGGGTGACAAAATATTTGTCAAGCGAGGGAGAAAGACTTTTTCGCCTTATCAGAATTAAATGCAGCTCTGCTTTGGTACCTTGAGGATTAGAAGTTTGGGAGTATCCAGGATCTGGGGATAATCATACAGGCACCAGAAATCTTCCTATGGGCACTAGACTCAGTTGAGCTATGTGGGCAGCAGGGTGGTTGGTAGCAGCTGACTCATGTCTCTGGGTATATGTGAGGCACCCCTTTTGGGACCCCCCATAGAAATCACCAAGGACTTTTTAGGAAGAAGGTTGAGGCCTTTGTTATTATGTAGATGGGGGCTTAAGTCAGTGTAACATGGACTGAAGGCAAATGTGACCATACTTTATAATCGTAATCCCAGAAAGCCTGAACAAATAAAGAAACAAAGTAAAATGTAGGAACAACTGAAACAAAAATATTTACAGAGTCAAACTGTAACTGAGTGCCCTCATTTTTTCTGAGAGATAGTTTATTCTTTCTTCTTTTCTCATTCCCCTAGTTTCTCGCTTCCTACTTAGCCCTTTAAAAAGGCAAATGTAGGCCAGGTGCAGTGGCTCATGCCTGTAATCCCAGCACTTTGGGAGGCTGAGGTGGGTGGATCACATGAAGTCAGGAGTTGGAAACCAGCCTGGTCAACATGGTGAAAACCCATTTAAAAAAAAAACAAAAAAACAACTATCTGGGCATGGTGGTGGGTGCCTGTAATCCCAGCTATTTGGGAGCCTGAGGCAGGAGACTCTCTTGAAGCCAGGAAGGGGAGGTTGCAGTGAGCCGAGATCGCACCATTGCACTCCAGCCTGGGTGACAAGAGCGAGACTCTGTCTCAAAAATAAATAAATAAATAAATAAATAAATAATTTAATAAAGGTAAATATAGCCTTTTACCTCGTCTTCACCAGACAGTCCCTATAGGGCAAGTTCATCTAACTATGTGCTTAGGAGCTCCAGAAAGGAACTCTCACCCACCAGGAGGATTCCTCAAGAGATAACATCCAATTTCTACAAAACTCCCTCCCACCAGGAGACTGCCTTGAGAAATGTGAAACTCTCTTCCATCTGGGGGGTTTCTGGCTTAGTCCTGCAGACGAAGGTGCCAGCAGTCACCAGCTTGACCACCCAGTAGATAAGGCATGCAGACCCCTCCCCCGACAACTGCTTGCTTCCTTCAATTTAAAAGTGCCTACTTTCAGAGATCGAGACCATCCTGGCTAACAGGGTGAAACCCCGTCTCTACTAAAAAACAGAAAAAAGTAGCCGGGCGTGGTGGCGGGCGCCTGTAGTCCCAGCTACTCGGGAGGCTGAGGCAGGTGAATGGCGTGAACCCGGGAGGCAGAGCTTGCAGTGAGCCGAGATCACGCCAATGCACTCCAGCCTGGGCGACAGAGCAAGACTGTCTCCAAAAAAAAAAAAAAAAAAAAAAAAAAAGGCCTGCTTTCTGCTCCACAAGTACCGTTAGGGAGGAAACCTGTACTTCTTCCCCTGAGCTAGCTTTGGAATACATCACTTTCTTTCTGCCAGACCTTACTTTTGTTAATTGGAATCTGCAAGTGGTGAGCAACTAACCCTGCGTTATTTCAGATATATTCAGATTCCAAAGGCCATCTGAAATACTGAGACCTGAAACTTACAAACGAGATGGATAGGGAATTACTTTTTCCTTTACTTCCTTTACTAAATCCCTTTGTCTCCAAAATCTATCAAGCAATAGTTTCTTTATCTGAAAACTGTGGATTATGATACCTGTCTTGTCTGCTTTAGAAGGGAAACAAAAATTATGTTGAAATTAATAGGAATACTTATTGAAACAGGAAAGGGATAACTTGCAGGGTTTGAAGCAATCACATGTTGAGAACTCAGTCAAGGCTTTCTTAATTTTTTTAAAAAATCATAATGTTAATTGGGATATTTTATGGGTAATGGGCTTGGATCCCAGCACTTTTCCAATGGGAGAACAGAAGCACCTTGTACCGCCCCAGAGTTTCCTTCCCCCACCCACAATAACCCTAAAGCAAAAGGTATTATTATTATCATCGCCTTGTGACAGAGGAAAACTTGAGATTGGGGGCTTAACTGACTTGACATCAAGTCTCAAAAAGAAACAGTGGCAGTTTGAGACTTTGATCTACGACTCTTTAAGGGTTTAGATTGCTTCCACAGCGAAACCTGCACAAACAGTTGTCAACAGCTGCTGCAAATTACAGGCTTCTGAGGAACATTTAAAAATGCCAAGAGTTCTTTCCTCAGGCCAAATACTATGGCAGATAAAAGTATTGCCTTTGGAGCCGGAATCCCTGCGTTTGAATCTTGCCTGTGCCACTTGGTAGCTGTGTAACTCTGGCTACGTACTTAACGACTCTGTCTCAGTTTTTCTGTTTGTAAAATGAGGATAATTACACCTTCTTTGTAGGGTTCTTCCAAGGATTAAATGAGTTAATAGGAGTAAGCCACTTAGAATATGGCCTATTATATGGTAATCTCTATTTAAAATCCTGTCAGATACACCAAAGCAAACACTTTAAAAGTTTCTGTTAAATAAATCACTAAAATAGAATCGGGGCATTGGTTCTTTAAAAGTACTCCCTCACGGTATTCTAGTATGCAGATTGGGTTTTAATATCTGAATGTGGCGCCTTTTGGGATCTCGCCTCGCGAGAAATTGACATTAACGAATGAGTGAAAGCAGCTTTTTTCCCCCGCCCCCCCGCCCCCTCCAGGAAGATGTAGACCCTACAAACTTGTTATCAGGACCGTGCGGAGACCAAGGGGGCGGACGCGTTCTCCCCATTCCCCTTTGGGAGTTGTAGTTTCCTTTAAGCGCTGGGTGGGCCTAAAAACCAGTGTGGAACTACAACTCCCACAATCCCGCGCGCCTCCCGCCCTGCCTCCCGCCCGCGATTCTCGCCCGGCTCCCATTACCGCCCCTCGGGGGCGGCTGTGGCGGAGGGATGATGGCCGACGGCGGCGGCGCTACGGCGGCGCCCAGCCCGCGGGGCTCTCCCGGGCCGGCGCCACGGGTTCCGCGCGCAGTCGGACCGAGTGGCGGTGGTGGGGAGACCCCGCGGACTGCGCCGCTGGCGCTGCGCTTCGACAAGCCCATCAAGCAGGCCTTCTACAACACCGGGGCCGTGCTGTTCGTGTGTCTGTGCTGCGGCGCCGCGGTGCTGGTCTACTTTATCCTGGAGGCCTTCCTGCGGCCGTTGCTCTGGGCCGTGCTGTGCGGCACTTTCCTGCACCCCTTCAAGAGCTCGCTGACGCGCCTGGGCCGCCACTGGCTGCAGCGCCTGCACCGCGCGCACACGCCCATCGTCCTGGCCGCACTGCTGCTGCCGCTCTGCTTCATCGACTACGGCGTCGAGGCCCTGGGCGAGCAGGCGTTGCGTCGCCGCCGCCTGCTCCTGCTGCTCGGCGCCGGCGGCCCGCTTCTGTACGGCCTCTACTGCCTCGGCAGCTACCTGGGCGTGCAGGTGCTGCTGTTGCACGCTGCCGCGCTCATCTGCCGCGGGCTTGACTACTTCAGCAGCCTGTGGGTGAGTGAGCGGCAGTCCGCCTCCGCCCCCCGCCCGTGGTCCCGGCGCACTGGGATGCAGTCCTGCAGTTCCTCCCCGTGCAGGGGCGACGAGGGGCCACACTTGTGCTGCAGTGACTGTCCGTCTCCGCTTTCCTTCTCACACCTCAGGAATTTGGCGCACGTTCTTCCAAAAAGAGGGCGGGCATAATTTGAAATTGCCTCCCTGCTTCCCGCTTTGCCTCAATCCTAGCAGGCCCTTTTAGGGAGATAGTGCCCTGGATTGAGAATCGCTATTCCTCTTTGCAGAGAGAGGCCTCAGAGCGTGGCAGTGGGCCTTGGTTTTACTCCTGGTTGGAGAGGGCGGGAGTGCTTCGGCCACCCTCAGTTCTGCGCATCTGAAAGGGACCTTCAGAGATTCTAGGCCAACTTGCCATCCTGCAGATAGGAAAGGTGACCTCTTACCAGGCTAGGGCTACTTAGGGGCAAAGAGGGGTCTGAGTGTCTTAGATTTCTCACAAGTCCTAAAACAAAGCTTGCTTAACTGGCTGGTGCTGCCTCTCGCTCGGTTCAGGTGATTTCTGTATAATTTGTGCAAGGCACTGGGTGCTGAGCCGCCTGTGCCTCTTCCTCTCCACGATTTACTTTTTGGTAACTACTTTTGTTGTGCACGGACTGGTGTACCAGAGCACACCTCCTTCCGCTTGGAGTAAAGCAGCGGGCCGCGTGAAAGAGAGACGTAGATTTGTGATGCTTGGATTACCCGGAGCTTACTCTTAGAAAATCAGGGAGCTTTCGAATTGGAAGGGATTTCAAAGATAATCTAGTGACACAATTCCTAACTCAGACTATATTGTGGACTAGTTAGTTATCCACATCTTTAACTGGTGACTGTTCAAAACAAGTGGAGATTTAGTGCGTAAGAATGCCAATTGATTCATAAACAGTATCGTTTACAAATTTTGATTCACTACTTTTGTCAGTGAAATAAAGTTCAGTGTACCTTGACATCATTAAGTTGCAAAATAGTAATTCCCCTTATCTGTCCAGCAGTGTTGTGGCTTGCCTGAGGTTATTGGCAGAGTGGTGAATGACCCCAAACACCCTTCTTCTCTTATTCCCTCAATACCACCTCTTGGTTCGTGTTTAAAGTTGATCGAGCATATGTTAGGTACTGGGCTTTGTGAGGGATTTAAAAAAGGACTAAGATACGGGTTCCGTCTTCAAGGTATATGAGCATATTCTAATGGAGATGACAGACATACAGATAAATGCTCATGGCTCACCAGTTATGGGCCACAGGCCCAGAGAATGTGATTGGTCCAAAGTCACATTTTGTGGTTCACTTTTATGGAGGCCCAGTTCAGTGCTTTTTATCGTTTATCTTGCAGTTTCACAATTCAACTAAGTGGATCGAATACTGCTTATCTAGAAGGCAGAACACTGTGTGCTAAGAAAAATACACTTGGTTATTTTCCTCAAGAAATTCAGTTTTGTAAAAGACACATAGATTCTGCGAACATTTTTGACTGTTGATACTGCTCAAGGAGCATATCCATCAAACTGTAGGAAATTAGAAAAGAAAGGCCTGCCATATGTAAATAGTATATTTTCATACTAGAGTAAGAAATTGAATACGTGAGTAATTTGGCATGATTATGAGGCATTTCTAGCAGTCTGTCTCAGATACTCAATGGAAAGAGTTGAGCACTTCTAAAGAAACATCCACAGCTCGGAGTATACCTTTGAGTATCTTTTTACTGAAGATAAACCTTCATCTTTGTATTTCATTTGTATGGGTTGTGGATGAGTCGAAGAGAAGTAGGGGCCAACATTGATTAGACCTGGGAGTAGGAGAAGGAAGGTCCAACCAATTAATGATTTTTTAAAAGCTTGAAATTGGCCGGATGCAGTGGCTCATGCCTGTAATCCCAGCACTTTGGGAGGCCAAGGCGGGTGGATCACCTGAGGTCAGGAGTTCAAGACCAGCCTGGCCAACATGGTGAAACCCCATCTCATCAAAAATACAAAAAAAAAAAAAAAAAAAAAAAATTAGCTGGGTGTCGTGGTGGGCGCCTGTAATCCCAACTATTTGGGAGGCTGAGGCAGAAGAATCACTTGAACCTGGGAGGCAGAGGTTGGAGTGAGCTGAGATTGCACCAGTGCACTCCATCCTGGGGGATGAGCGAAACTCCATTCCGCTCCCCCCCGCCAAAAAAACCCTTGAAATTCAGCTGTTTGGCTCAAGTGTTGGGAGCAAGGAAAAAGAGAGAGGGTTAAAAAAAAAAAACCGAACAAACTCAACATAATAAGGGTATGAGTTTAGAAGTGAGTAGGGAGTGGTAGAAGGGCTAAATTTGAAAGAGAAGCTTCAGGTTGATAGAGTTTCAGAGAAACAAGGCATGGAGTTGCATTTTGCTCAAGCAGTGTTTAAGGGTGGGTGGATGGTTGGGGTGAAGTATACCTGGGAAGACAAGGAGTCCTTGCTCTCATCCAAAAGTGCTGATTAAGGCCAGGTGGGGTTGTCCACGCCTGTAGTCCCAGCACTGTAGGAGGCCCACACAGGTGAATCACTTGAGGCCAGGAGTTCGAGAAGATCAGCCTGGCCAACATGTTGAAACCCAGTCTCTACTAAAAATACAAAAAGTCAGCCAGGCATGGTGGCTCACGCCTGTGGTCCCAGCTACTCGGGAGGCTGAGGCACGAGAACTGAGGCACTTGAACCCAAGAGGTGGAGGTTGCAGTGAGACGAGATTGTGCCAGTACACTCCAGCCTGGGCAGCAGAGCAAGATCCTGTCTCAAAAAAAAAAAAAAAGTGTTGATTAAAGGCCAGGCACAGTAGTTTAATGCCTGTAATCCCAGCACTTTGGGAGGCCAGTTGCTTGAGCCCAGGAGTGTGAGACCAGCCTGGGCAACATAGTGAGATCCCCCCGCCCCCGATCTTTTAAAATAAAAAAGAAAGTGCTGATTAAGGCCTGACATGAAGTGAAAGTAGGTTATGTGACTGGGCAGGAGGCCCATTCTGGAACTTTTCCATCCCACAGTTCACAGTGGTTTGGCTTTATGAGCCCAAGCAGGGCTGCCTGGTATAGAACATGGTCTTTATGCTTTCTAGGCTACTTTAACTATGGGCCTGCTGCTGAAGAGCAGTATAGATGAGGGAGGCAGAGAGAAAAGTTAACTTTAAGTGAATCCCTGTTTTGATGAACTGACAGTTCATCCATTTAAGATCCAACTTTTAAGCATCTGCCATGTCCCAGGCACTAGATTAGGTTCTTTTACATGGGTGTTACTTCATTCTCACAATGTCCTGTGAGGTAGGAGGGAGGGATTTCATATGTGAGAAAACTAATTCAGAGATTGATCTGTTTATGCTGTCAGTAAATGGCGTTCAATAGACCTAGCAGCAGTTGAAGTCCTGCTGTTATCAAAACTGTTTGTAGTAACCTTCAGTAAGGATTTTTAAAAAGTTTTCCCTAATTCATTGTGTTTAATTATTTTTAATATAAATGGATTCTAGGCCGGGTGCGGTGGCTTGCACCTGTAATCCCAGCACTTTGGGAAGCCAAGGCAGGTGGATCACCTGAAGTCAGGAGTTTGAGACCAGCCTGGCCAACAGGTTTTGTAAAAATACAAAAACTAGCTGGGTGTGGTGGTGGATGCCATAATCGCAGCCACTCTAGGCAGGAGAATTGCTTGAAGCTGGGAGGCGGAAGTTGTAATGAACCCAGATTGCGCCATTACACTCCAACCTGGGCGACAGAGCGAGACTCTGTCTCAAAAAAAAAAAAAAGATTCTAGTTACTAGGAAAAAACAGAAGAATATCAGCATTCTACTCATCTAGAAACCTTATTCATCTCTCTTCTTTCTTCTCTTTTATTTTTATACCTGTGCAGTTTTCCAGATCCCATCAGTTTTCCTTTTTAGTGTTCTTGGGACCTATGTTTTTCTTTTTTCTTTTTTTCGTTTTGTATATTGAGACAGAGTTTTGCTCTTGTTGCCCAGGCTGGAGTGCAATGGTGGGATCTCGGCTCACTGCAACCTCCACCTCCCGGATTCAAGCAATTCTCTTGCTTCAGCCTCCCGAGTTGCTGGGATTACAGGCACCTACCACCATGCCTGGCTAATTTTTGTATTATTTTTAATAGAGACGGGGTTTCACCATGTTGGCCAGGCTGGTCTTGAACTCTAGACCTCAGGTGATCCACCCGCCTTGGCCTCCCAAAGTGCTGGAATTACAGGCATGAGCCACCGCGCCTGGCCTGGACTTACGTTTTTCTTTGTCACTAGTTTATCCTTCCAGTTCAGTTCCTCTTCATGCCATTTGTAGATTTCTTCAGTCTCCTAGAACTCCATGCTGCTTACAATTGAAAAACTATCATTTATGGGATGAGTAACTCTTTTTCAGCAGTTTCGGATAGGTTAGAAGATTGCACTGACTTAGTAAGTGACTTCAGAACACTTAAAAAAAAAAATCAGCTGTTGCACTGGGTTCATATGTTACTCAGTTCTTGGCATCTTCCCATAGTGGAGTTATGCAAGGTACATTTGAAAAAGCTGATGGTGTGCCCTGCTCCACCATTTCTCTCTGTTGGGGGGCATTCTGATCTTCCTCATTCTGTTAATTTAGACTTGGTGGAAAATTTGAAGACCATTTAGTTTTTGCAGTAATAATAGATTTGTTTTTTTCTGTGGTCTCTGATCCTATTGTTTCCATCTTTTTAAAGAAGCATGAGGTGGAGAGAATAGTGGCTGAAAGATTAAAAAAAAAAAAAAACCTTAAGTTCTAAAGTTGACTTTGCTAGTAACTAACTTTGTGACCTTGGGCAGACCAGGGCCCTCCTCTGGGACATTCAGTCCCAGTTGTGTAAAGCGAGGGGTTGGCTTGAACAATTTCTAAGATTTCACGATGTTCTATTTTACAGATCACAAGAGGCTCTTCAGCAGTGGACATTAGTCAGCCATTCACTACTGACTCACTTTTAAACACATTTCTGGGTTTGTTTCTGCTTGCCTGGCA